TAATTTGAATTTCTTATCTTCATTTTCCAGCTGAACCACGCATAATGAATGGCCCTCAGGATGTGGAAGTCCGACTGGGAGGTACCATCAGCTTTACTTGCGAGGTAATAGGAGATCCGATACCGGAAATCAAATGGATGCGGGACTCTAATGAAGTATCCGCCGATGGGGACCATTACGTAATTCAAGATGATGGAACATTAGTAATATCGGATGTAACGGAACAGGATACCGGTGAATACGAATGTGTGGCCAAGAGCGAAATGGGCTTCACAAAGTCGAGAAAGGCCAGAGCTGTAATCACGGTATCACCATCCTTGAGATTCACCGAACTGCCTGAGTCACAAACTGCCCAAGTTGGTGCAGATGTTTCTTTCACTTGCAAAGTGTACGATCGCCCCGCTCCAACCATTCAATGGTGGAGAAACGGTCAACTGTTAACCATCGGTGGTCGTATCACTATAGAGAACGAAGGAACTTTATTGAGAATCTTTGCCGTAAAGGAATCAGACTCGGCCAGATACGTTTGCCAAGCGAGAAATTCTAATGGATACGCTGAAACGAGCGCGGACTTGAGGATAGTGGATGAGTCTTACAGTCCTCCTAGGCTAACATATGAGCCACACGATATGGAGGCGGAACCTGGGGCCATTATAGAAGTGCCTTGCAGAGTAGAAGGCTTTCCTAAACCCGTGATACAATGGAAGAAGGATGGGACAGCCATGGAAGGGTCCAGGTTCCGTGTATCGCGCGGGGGAAGTTTGTATCTCTATAACGTTACTGCCGCGGATACTGGAAGGTGAATTTGGATACTTTTTTACTTGAATTTCTTGTGTTATTTGTTCATTTTAAAAGTGCAGAATGTTATTGGGTAGGATAAGGAAGAAAGAAAGAGACTAATTTTGTAATGTAAATTTTAGAAGATTTGACAGGCTTAAGAATATTTTATTCAAGTTTCTTGAATTCAAAATTGATATACTCTTTCAATGTACTTAATGTAATAACAGATATCAGGATCAATACAATAACTACAATTAATAATCTGAGAAATATAAATATACATATTGTTTATATAAACAATAGTACAAATATCTAGAAATATATGAGAATAGTTATATAAACTATGTCTGAATCTAACACAATGAATCGACAAAGTGATGCTTTTTTCTCAAAAAAATCTTGAAATACTAGACTAAAGTTATATCAAAGTGATTATAAATTTTGGTAATCTAAAAATACTTGATTTGAATTATTAAAATTATTTATTGTAGCATTTTGTAATAATCATTGATAATGTGATGTATCAGTAAATCGCGTTTTACGTTTGGCTTCACCGTCATTAATCGAATTGTGCACGCAGGTATGAATGCTCTGCTGTGAACCAATATGGCCGGGTAACCGCCCAGGCACTGGTGCGCGTTCGCCAACCCGAAGCAACGGATGTCCTAGTAATAAGAGCCTTCAAGGATGCGACCAAGGAGATCGATCGAGCCATAAATAACACGCTGACGGATCTCCTTAGCGGTAACAGGCGAACGAATCCGTTTAGATTAGCGCGCTTCCCAGACGCGATCGGTCGCACAGTCGCCAGACCCGCAGAAATTTTTGAAAGGACGTTGGTGAATATACGACGAATGGTAAATTCCGGCTTAAGCGCAAATACCAGCGCTGAATTCCGATATGAAGAAATTCTAACGGCGGAGCAGGTGCGTCGAGTTATAGTTTCAACTTAACTCTAGAACTATGCACAATTGTTTTCCAAATTTACCCTCTTAACACGTGCATCCTTCTAAATACTTTGTCATCTTGGAATCTAGGCTGCAATATTCTCGACTGTTTCACGTATCCAAAAATAATTTTCCATTAATCTCTCAGAGTTTTACCTATTTTATTGTTCTATTTTCTCAAAGAAATCAAAAATACGTGGAAAAATATATGTAAAGTGAGAAAAGACACGAGCTTTTATTCACTTGATTCTTTGCAAAAATCATTCAAACACTGTGTCAAAAAATACTGTGTCATGGTAAATATATAAAATTTGTATAAAAATTTATGAGCCTTGACTTTTTTGGTTCTGTCGTTAAAGCCTGATACAAAAAAATTCCGTAATATTTTAAGGTATTAAAAAATTTTCTATTGCTTCACAGGTTAGAGAAATCGAAAGATTATCCGGATGCACGGGCCACAGGCACCGTAAAAATTGCACGAATATGTGCTATCATAATAAATATCGTAGCATAGACGGCAGTTGCAATAACCTACGTCATCCAACTTGGGGCTCCTCTTACACCGGTTTCCGTAGAGTTTTACAACCAATTTATGAAAATGGATTTTCATCGCCAGTTGGTTGGGAAAAAGATCGCCGTTACTACGGATTTTCGAAACCATCTGCGCGTTTGATCTCGACAACATTGATCACCACTCGTAACGTAACTTCAGACAGCGGAATCACACATATGGTGATGCAATGGGGACAATTTCTGGATCATGACTTGGATCATGCTCTTCCTGCAGTTTCTAGCGAATCGTGGGATGGTATAGATTGCAAGAAATCTTGCGACAACGCTGCACCTTGCTTCCCTATGGACGTTCCACCTGGCGATCCCAGAGTCAATAACAGAAGATGCATTGACTTTATCAGAACGAGCGCAGTCTGCGGTTCTGGCGCGACCAGCGTATTGTGGGGTAGCTTCACTCCTCGAGAGCAATTAAATCAACTGACTAGTTACATGGATGCTTCTCAGGTGTACGGTTATGACGATGCTTTAGCCAGAGATCTCCGTGATTTGACTACAGATCATGGTCTGTTACGAGAAGGGCCTGCAATTCCTGGTCATAAACCTCTTCTTCCATACGCTTCTGGTCAGTTTGTTGATTGCAGGAGAAATCCCTTGGAAAGTTCCATCAACTGTTTCGTAGCCGGCGATATCAGAGCCAACGAACAAGTTGGTCTTTTGGCAATGCACACGATATGGTTACGCGAACATAATCGTATAGCTCGTTCTTTGCGCGACATGAATCCCCAGTGGAACGGAGAAAAATTGTATCAGGAAGCTAGAAAGATCGTAGGTGCTGAGATGCAACATATCACATATCAACATTGGATACCTCACGTATTTGGCAGTACCGCGGAAGAGCTTTTAGGTTCCTATCGAGGTTACGATCCTAATCTCGACGCTACTATTTCCAACGTTTTCGCCACTGCAGCTTTAAGATTCGGTCATACGTTGATTCAGCCTCAACTGCAGCGTCTTAACGAATCTTTTCAATCAATTCCTCAAGGTCCTCTCAAGCTACGAGATGCTTTCTTTTCACCGTGGAGATTGGTGGAGGAAGGCGGCGTCGATCCTCTTATGAGAGGGATGTTCGCCACTGCTGCAAAGTTAAAACTGCCCGAGGAAAATTTGAATTCAGAACTGACGGAACAATTGTTCTATACTGCCCATGCAGTGGCTTTAGATTTAGCTGCAATGAACATCCAGCGAGGTAGGGATCATGCACTGCCAGGTTATTTGGAGTGGCGAAGATTCTGCAATATGTCTCATGTTGAGACTTTCGAGGATCTAGCCAATGAAATTCGTAGCGCCAGAGTTAGACAAAAGTTAAGAGAACTGTATGGTCATCCTGGGAACATAGACGTCTGGGTTGGCGGAGTACTGGAAGATCAACTGCCCAATGCCAAAGTAGGACCACTTTTCCAATGTATTTTGCTAGAACAATTCAGGCGTACTAGAGACGGCGATAGATTTTGGTACGAAAATCCAACTGTGTTCAAGCTGGAGCAACTCGCTCAAATAAAACAAACGAGCTTGGCTAGAATTCTATGTGATAACGGTGACAATATTAATAGAATTCAGTCGAACGTGTTCTTACTGCCAGAGAATGATAATAAATTCGTCAGCTGTGATGAGATTCCGTACATGGACTTGAGAGTCTGGTCCGAATGTTGCGACGGATGTGAAGACCACAGTAATACGATTTCAAGATTCAGACGTAGCGCAATTAAATATTTGCCACCGCAGAATAACATCTCTTTGAAAGACATAAGTACACGAACTCAAAGTGAAAAAATAGAATATTTAGAAAGAACAATCGAGGAGACTGAGCAGGAGTCTAGGAAGGTTATGGATCTTATAGAATCCTTGTCTCATAAGATAGAAGAACTGAAATCGCTTTTAAAGGATGTGAAGAAATCGAATAAATAATCGAATAGAATAATAGACATTGTGCCATTATTTCAACAACGTATCTGATTCTATTATTTTGCAATTCGCTTTGTATTAAAAGTTCATTAACGTTTATTTGCTGTGTCATTAACGTATTTATTACTGTATATACACGAAGCGTAGAAGCAGCCTGACTTTAGTTTAGGAAATTAGCAAGTTCTTTATTGCTCTCCTGTCGAATTTGATTTCATCATTTAGATATTTCTTATTATCTCTAGTCTCATATCTGATACGTTAATGGTACTAAAAAGAGTTTAATGATATTTATAGAGGCAACAACAAAGCTTAAATTGCAATCTTTTAGTTTTATCATTTTTGAAGCTGCAGCGAATCACATATTCCTTTAATAGTACAATATAAATACGTTTCGGAATTGATTTAGTTAAATGATAAAAATACTTTGTATTCTATGCAATAACATTTTTCCTTAATTAGCAAAGATTTACATATCACTTTAGCCTTCCATTTTTTACATAGACAATACATAGATATCAACTACGTACTGATAATTTACATAAAATAATTTTGTTAGCAATCTAGCACAAACTTTAAAGAAAAATGAATTACAAATACATATTTAATATGTACAGTTTTAATATTGATCATTGCTATGTTAACAATTACATTTTTATGATTCTGTGCCATGTATTTGTTTTATATTGTGTAAATGTTAGCCCCTATAAAATTTGTAGATGTATCGTAGGAAGTGTTTATTAATATATTTGGAAATGTATATTAAATAGGAGTGTTTGAAGAAAATTAAAGGTAAATCAATGTTTGATGAATATTATAATGCAATACCCAATAAAGAGATTGTATTCTCTTAAGCAATTATATAAACATATACATATTATATATACATTAATGCAGTGCTATATTATTCAGATTTTATAATATATTAGTGTACTATATTAGTATAATAAATTAGTGTACTTGTTCTATCTACGAATCATATCGATATCAATAGTAGATAACAACATACACTTTATTTTATTTTTGCCCAACAAATTTTGTGTGTCTTCCATGAGCAATTATATCTTTCCCCTCATTTTTTGTAATATCTACTGCAAGAAAAGCTAATGTTTTTCCACTGCGTACAGTTTTAGCATCAACTGTTATCAAATCACCAGGAAGAGCAGGTTTCATGAATCTATATATTGATTATTATTATGTATGTATAATTAATTCTAAATATAATCATGAAAAATATTATACCTACGTAACATTTAAATCCACTGACACACCTGGTAAATTATTTCCTTGCGTCATTACTGCATATGTAGAAACACAGTCAATAAGGGTACTTGTAAAACCACCATGCATGGTACCACCTAAGTTTAAATGCTCCTTGGATACAACTAATTGTGCTTTGCAATTTCCATTTCCTGCTGAGACTATTTGGAGCTAGTAAAAAAAAGAGTACAAAAATATAACTCCATTAATTTACGTGATATAATAAATTATCAACATTTATCATATTTTTATAGATTGATACTTGATAAATTTAAAAGATCATAAAATTGAAAACATTACTTTTTGTAAACATTGGGCAAAATTAGTCGACTGAAGAACTCGTTCCAAAACTGATGTGATCAATTTCGTTTTACACATCGTTCGGTTTGTATATTTTACAGTTTTTCACTTTTTAAAGATTTTCTATAACAAAAAATCATACATTTTTAAAGTCTTCATTATATTCACAGAATATATGATATTAATTAATGATATTAAATTCATATTATAGGAAAAATTTTACCGGTCACATTTGACATAACCTATACTTAAATACACACACATATATATATATACATTATGCTAGGAAATTTTTATTTTAAAAAGATGAATACAAGAAGACTGTACCCAAAATTTTACTAATTATATATTTATATTTTACCAAAGTATATCATGGTTAAAAATCTATATATTTTATTATAAATATAATACAATTAAATAACCAACGAAAGAAATTAAATACATAATTTACCAAAATATCCAACAAAAGAAAATAAATACATAAATAAAAAAATTTGATTTCTATTATATTATATATAATATGATTACTTTCTATATAAATTACAATAAATAATAACCACTTTTTAGATACAATTTAAATGCCATTCATTTTTAATCATTTAACTATGATTAATAGGTAATCCTTCTTTGTTTAAAAGATGATCGTTAGGATCCTCCAAGTACTTAGGACCATTTCCAACTTTAGTATAAATAATATATTTAAGAGATCCCGGAGCCTGTCTTGTTGTATTAATTTTATTAAATAGCTCCTAAAACAAATATGAAATTTATTTTAATATGCATCAAGTAAGATATGATCGTTAAGTAATGATGGAAATTATTTACTTGTGAATTTATAACTTCTTTAAAAGTTAACCCTTTCCTATATTGTTCTAAATTAATCCCTGGTGGAAAGAAATGATCTAATACTCCCACAAATTCTGGTACATTTTCTTCTAAGAGATATAGAGTTGCATTTGGTCCTGCATCAAATGTATATGCAACCTAATGAATAACATATTTAATTAAAATACCAATATATATAAATCAAAGTTGAAAAAAATGATGTTTTATATTAATACCTTTACTTCATTCACAGCTTCATTATAGGCATGAACAAAATTAATAATAGTATGTGAAACATCATTCATATAAATAACTGGTGGATATGCATCCAAACATACTGCATGCATTTGATTTGAATCTTTAATTGTATGTTCAGCAAATGTTTTAAAATCTTTTTCTATGATTGCCTGTTCTATTATTTTTACTCTATTAGGCAGAACATGTTTTATCCTATGTTGCATAAGATCAGATGTTTCAATAGTTCTTTTCATTCCAATTGAACTAGAAATTTTCTTCTTTGTGTCATTTACCTAGTCCATATTAAATCATAAATATATTTAGTAGAAAATATTACATAAAATAACAATTAAAACTGATACATACAACTAATATTAAAATTCTCATTTCTGGCCAATGAGAAGCAGGCACAATTTGTTTTGCTATGCTATCAGCACCATTTGATTCAGAACCCATACACCATTTTACAAAACCTCCCATGACACTCCTGCATGCTGAACCAGAGCCACTACGAGCGAGTGAAGTAATATCATCCTAAAAATTAATATTCAAACAAGCAGAAATTATATAAATATACCACATGGAATTATAAAAATTATAATTATGTTTATTTTCCAATACCTCTATTTGATATAATTTAGCAAGAGCTAAAAAATTAATATTCAAATCTTAAAAATTAATATTCAAACAAGACAAAATTATATAAATATAACACATTTACTTTCCAATACCTCTATTTGATATAATTTAGCAAGGGCTACTACAAGACAAGCATATCCTGCTGCACTAGATGCTAAACCAGCTGCAGTTGGAAAATTATTTTCTGAACAAATATGAACTTTCCATTGATTAGAATTTCTTGCTCTTTTCCTAACTAAAATATTATAAAAGAGTTTTATTTTAAGAGATCAAAGCTTTTTTCATACAATTACATACTTTGTGTTAAACAATTTTGCAATCTAGGATTCTTGATGTCTTCTTCTCTGAAAAGTTATAAAGTTTAATTGAAATGCACACCTAATTTTCGTGATACATAAATTTTTTTTACTTACTTTCCATTTAACCATATACGATCTTCTTTAAAAGTTGAACTGGTCATTACAGTAGTTTTTGCATGTAGCTAAAATTTAAAATAGATTGAAATATATCGTTTGTACATACTGGTTTGTCAAATATAATTGTATTTTTACATGATCTGTATCCAAAGTGGCGCTAATGGAATCATTTACTGGTAAAATCAGCACCTCATCTCTTTTTCCCCCTATAAAAAAATTTATATTTTTACAATGCTATAAATATTTATTTCAAGAAGATCGCAGTACAATAGAAATTTATTCTTTTCATGCAGAAATAAGACCAACATTTTTTCAATATAACAGTATGATAATTTTTTTTGTGGCATTGTACTTTGTAATTTAATTTGAAATTCAAAGAGGACGTCATACGAATAGTAGTGTAAGGAAATTGTTATCGAGTTGTTTTTCTTAAAATAGATAAAATAGTAAATTTATAGTTTAATTCTTATAATAATTATACTGTATTACTATCATTAAAAGAGATAAAAAGCCTAAGAATACGTACAATATTTTATAACAGCAATATTGATGGATGCGAGGCAAGTAACGGTACACATCTTCTCAATCTGCTCGTCGACTAATTCCTTTATCGCTTACTGCGGCAAATAACGCGCTTTGAACCCGTACATAGCATTTATACTTCAAAAAACATAAACTGTTTATAAGCTAGATAGGTAATTCTATGCTCCAATTTACTACAATTTATTTTTTCTCTACTTCACAATACATATTGTAAATATTTATTCCTTCCCTTCATGTTCTACTAAAAATCAAATTTCAAATTAGAACTGTACTCTTTCACTTTATATTATAAATACACTTACAATATAAAATATTTTACAACATTTAACAAATGACAGAATAATAACTTTATATATCAGCAAGAATCTTTGTACATTGTTGAATAGTATATAAATTTACCATTCGTTAATCCCATTAATTTTAATCGTTTTTTGCTTATTCTGTTTACGTTTAGCAATTTGTTTTTAAAAATATGTCGATTATCCGCCAAAATCTACTTTGATCATATAGTTACCGATGTTACAACACATACGTTTTCTCATTCCTTTCACAGATAGCGCTGCTCCCTGTTCGCACTCCCGCTTTGTACTCGATCCGGAGCCGGTTTTCAGTATGATGCCGGTTGTGTCGACGGTGGGGGTTATTTGCACGATCCTCGGAGGACTGCACGTACTGCGATCGTACACGGCCGGGCACGGTGTGTATTCAAAGCGCGCGCTTGTTCCTTGGCCACGGACCGACCAACGAGATGCAAAACAAACGTAAGAACGATGCTGCTGTGAGTGTCGCGTAGAAGCATCGGATGTGAAATCTCTAAAAAAAAAAAAAAAAAAAAAAAAAGAAATCAAGGAGCGTGGAGCTCAACATGGTGCATGAAAGGTGCCGCTCGACGTTAAAAGACGTTGCAAAAGTAGTGGCGCGATTCGAACGACTCTGCCCCCGTCCTTTCTTCGTTGTCCCGCGTGCGTTTACATCGGCGAATTTCCGCGTCGTCGTCTCCTTTCTCTGAGTCTCGTCCGAGTAAGCTCGAGTCAGCTCTCGCCGAGTATTAGTACATACTCCTCGAAGGGTATAAACTTGGGAGTCACTGCGGGAAGAAGAAACTTAAGAAAAAAAGGAACGAAAAAGGGAAAGAAGAGAAGCAAGGAGGAGAGATAAAGGAGAAAAAAGAGATGATAGGAGATGGGTGGTAGTCGTACGCGTCGAACGATCAAGTAGTGGCCGTGTTGCGAGTAAGATCGCGACGATAAAGGTGTTCCCGTAGGACGTCTGGTGGGTTACGGTGACCGAGTCACTCTGTCATCTGTTTCCAAGAAGAGAGAGGTTGACGGGTTCGTTGTGTGTGTGTCGGTGCACGATCGTGGCGGCATGGAGCGTCAATGTTGGCGGCCCCTCACCAACAGCGGGACCTGAATGTGTGCGTGTCTCCCCTGGCTGACCGGCCTGCCTTCCACCGTTAAGCTGCGTTCACAAAACAGGCGGATTTTCGGGCAAGGACCGTGTCTCGGTCGTTCTTGTCAAAAACGTGAATCGAATCGGTTAATGAGGACCATCTGGCTTCGATCGTCCAATCGGCTTGCAGGTAACATCTTCATGATCACATAGTTATAGCATCTTATTTCAAATAATGTCGTACCATTGTATTATTGTTAATCCTGAACTTTATTTTTAGAAAATGATAATTATTTGATAGATTTATTATTATTTGACTTGTATACAGGATGTCCCGCGACTGGGAGATTCTGCGTATCTCCTAGTCGGTTGATCATGGGTGAGATATCCTACATTTAAATTTGAATTTCGTACATGAGATAAAAAAAATTATACAGAAAACTTGTATAATAATTTTCTCATACTAATTGTTAATTTTAATTTACCAATTGAGAAATAACCGAGAAACAATGTAATTCGACTAGTAATAATAAAAGATTTAATACCAAGACATTATATTTTAATGATGAAAACTTGCTTTCAGTGATGGTATTATTAAATGCTATAATAATAAGTTGGCGAACTTTTTTTTTTTTTTAATAACATACCAAAATCTCGTTAATTGGGCACAGATGAGGACTTCCGTGACTAAAATTACCGAGAGAAATATATTTCTAGAAAATATCATGTATCTCTTTTTTCTCGTAAAATATAAATACCTGACTATTTTATGTACATGCATACATAGTATTGAAAATTGATTATTTTATTTAAAGTTAATTCTTAAGAAAAAAGGAATTGACGCTAATTAATATACTATTTGAATTTGTTTCTTTTCTCTTTTTTTTTAGTATTCGTTTTATCTACATGCCATGATTTTTTCGCCTTTTTTTATTCTCACGATTTTTCTTCGAAATAATTTCGAAGAATTCATCGATTGTTTATCCATACGAGTTTCAAAGTTCGTGTACTTTGATACAAGCAGCTAATTTTACACCAGCAAATTTTCTAAATTAGACCGTTTGATGTAAAATCGTATAAAGAAAGAAATTTATAACATTACAATTTGTAATGGTGTTAGTTAATAAATTGTTGTGTAATAGAACTCTGAGATTCACTACGCAAAATAGTGGGAATAATGACGATATTATTGTAACTTGTATGCTCCATTGTAAAATTAGGTTAGATTCTATCATTGATACATTATTTTCCGCGGGAGGCCTCTGTTTTCCATCATTTTTCTCGTGTTTTTCTTCCCTGCGGTGTACACCAAATGAGAGATTTGTATACCGGGGAGAGTCGCGTTGTAAATCACGAAAACCAATGGACTTCGCACTGAAATTAACGATTCATGCGAAAGTAGCGGGATAGATACTCACAGGCCGTGAAACGCGTTCAATAGCACGTGGGGTGGCTAAACGAGATTCTTCACTTTGACTTCACTTTCCGATAGGTCCCCCGCAACCTGCTCACCGAGCAATATTTATAAATAGTGTACATATACTGACTGACAATTTGCGATTTCTCGTCGCAGGAAAAATCCTCTTTAATTATAATGCATCAGTGTTTCTTTCTGATTAGAATTTTTCTCCTCTTACGTCAGTTATTTATTATTTTCAAATGAAATAAATTAGCTACCGGCCAACGGCCAAACTACAAAATGTCCCTAGCATTTCCCTAGATCTCGTTTTTTGCGAAGCCCGCTATAATTTTTGAATTTCTCACGTCCTATTTTTTCTATTCTCGTTTCGAAGGATGAAAAGACGTCTCTCGAGGGAGAGGTCTTCAATAATGATAATAATAATAGAACTATCGGAATCGTGCCTCGATGTAGAAACCGAGAGATTACGTAGACGGGAAGGAAGATCGCGTTAAGGCGCATTTCCTTTTCAAATTCAATTCACGATGGATGTCGCATTACAAACAGATCAGAGAGACGGATCGTGGAATGAGTATGCAGCATGCGTTTACCGTTCCATAGTTATTGCCACTAGGCGGACGTAGCTTGTAACTACAAGAAGCGTCTCCTTTGTTCGATTACGCTTGTGTGAACGTCACCTTTATTTAGGTGCGCACGATGTTCCCTGTTCTCCGACGGTGCTTCAAACTTCGCGTTTCGACGAGATCGCCTATTCCTTTATATAATCAAATCTCTCAAGATTTTTATCGTAATATTTTAGCAACATGGTATGTATTATAGGCGTGTTTGATCTATCCCAAAAAATTAACTACGAATATATTTTATACTCGCCGGTAAGTAGGACGCACACTTGCTATATTAGAGAATTTAATTTCTTGCGCTGGAATGACGTGCAACGCACGTCGAGAATTTTTTGTCTCAAATTGCAATATTTTCTTAGTTATAACCGAGGCAAAACAAATGATAAGTTTATTACTTCTTAATCATTTCTATTCAGCGATATCATATCCGACGAGTTAAAAAAAAAAGAAAGCGACGAATTATTGTATATGGTTCGGTCACTCGTTATGGTCCGCGAACCAGTTGCCAAGGGATTAAAAAAAAAAATACAATTTTTGTATATCAAGTATTCTTGAACGGATTTTAATTGCTGAATTTGTTTCTTTACAATTTATTTTTATGTTATGTTTAAGATTAACGGATCCAGGTCTAAACTTTTACGCGACCAGGTATAGCTCATCAAAAATAAATCAGTACTTTATGGTTTTTCATGTAACTTTCTAGGAATTGTCATGCGCGTTAAACATTCATCAAATATTCTTTATAATACTGAGGAAAAGTATAGTATTGAATGTAAATCGTGTTTTCTTCAGATTTCTTGCATAAAAGCATGTCCAATTCTAATCGACAGAGATACGGCCAATCTGCAACAGTTAATAGATATCCTTAATTCGTTTATTTGTGTTGACTCAGATATCTGTTATAGGTACAAAATGAACAAAATGATATAAATTAATTTTAATAATGATATAAATTAAATTTTAATAGATTTAGAGATAAAATGGAAATTTTTGACATTTATTAAACGTTACTAAATTTATCTTTCTAAATAGGCATTTTATTTACACAAATATCGTATCAAGTTTGCAGAAATAAATTAATCACCCTTTTTCTAAGAAATATTACTTTCTAGCCTCGGCGATAGTGTCAGAAACTATCTACCGTACATATTATGGTTCTTTTTCTTCATCGCTCGTAATTCCACGCAGTCGGCATTAAAACGAATGTAATGAAATTGCTCTCCTATTTCAGTGACTCTCCTTTATCTGTATCTGTAATTCATGAAATCTGTTTTCACTTCATAATTAAGATATCTTTGAGGAAGAAGCAGGAAATATCTCTCTCTACATTGTTTTAGTTTCTACACATACGTCAAAGTACCTGCCCATTGTTACGTACAGAGAATAGAAATAAAATTAGGAAAAATAAAGGATTTCTAGCGCGGTTAGCATTGAGGTAACATTTACCACTTACTTTAGAAATTTAATTTGCTTCATGCGTTTTCATTAATGCAATGGAATGCTTTAATTAGCTTTTTCACACTTCACAGATTGAGTGTACACATTGTATATATACATGCGTGTACACGTTCTGCAATGATCACGGAAAGATACGAAGAGATGGATAAAGTTGCAGTTACTTCGCGTAACAAAATTGCTAGACGACCTTACATGGTTCGTGAATTCGTTTACAGACATAACCGATGAATCAAGCAGAGTGAATTCAGTTCCGAAGAATAAATTCAACCAGGGTCTGTCCTACTGATACAAGGTTCCTGTCTTCCTTCGTCCTAATCCCCTCTATTTCGTTCCCATGGTTTCCAAGGCTTCCTATAACGGGTGTGATCAAAGAATCATTCATGTACACAGTTGTTCACGAAAATATTTGAGCGCTTACTGTGAAAAGAGCTTGTGTCACGTCTTACATGAAACATTTCGAAATTTCATCAGTAACGAAATGGAATTGTCATGAGCACGTTGACAAAATTTGAAAGCAATCTGAAAATGCACAATGCGAACATAGAAGTTACAAGAACCATTTTCTCTGTCATTGGTAATGCGAGAAAGTAAGCATATAAAGCGGCTCAAATTTTTTTTTTTTATTTCTCTATGTAAGAATATATTACACTACAGAAAAATCTTTAACGAACCCGTTCAACTTCCTTTTGCAGTTGATTCTTCTATCTCGATGTACGATGCGACACCTGCAAGCTCTATATATTCATTTACCTATCGAAATGATTCATCTTGAAAGTGAATCACGCACTCGATCGATAAGTCCAGTCTATTTCGTTTCCTTTTCTTTTTTTTCTTTTCCTTTCAGTATAACGTTTAATATATGTATATATACTTTATATATATACTGTAATTTTCATGTGTGTATATATATATATATATATACACTATATACATATTATCGTTACAATTTTACATACAATTTTGTTCGTTTCTCTCGTTATGTCTGTTTTTATTTTCTTCAGCCGTAATTTAAGCTCAATACACATAGCACATGCCAGAGAACGTCATTTCTACCGAGGCATTGGAGTCAAAAGTAGTTCTGTTGTCGCAAAGGGCTAATGGAATCACCATCGATAAAATCTTGGCGAGTACAGATTGATACGGAAGATTTCTGTGCCACCTCTCTACTCTATTTCTCTTTGTTTCTTTCTTTCTCGTATCTCGTTTACTTTGCCGAAGTCGTTTTTCCCTCGAGGTTTTATTTCTCAAGTTTTACTCAAGAAAATCTTAGGATTTCTCGCAGTCCTCCAACATACTGTAATTTTCATGAATTCTCTGTATTCTTTCCGCTCATGTTACGATTCACGCTGCGTAAAGGGTTGAGAACACGCTAGCGTGTGGTTTAGATTTATTAAACGTTTATCGAGAGAGAGGATACGGAGGGTTCGCGTGTAAATTACTGGAATTGAATTTATTGCAGTTTTGGATGTGCCGAGATACACGCCGAATAAATCTCGAAAGTACTCAAATACCACGACTTGTAGACGCAATTTTATTCGTTGATATATTATGCGCGCTATATGAACCATTTTTATTAGCGCTTAGTACTAAGATCCAACTGTCATGACTGTATCGTTAAAAAGTTCTCTGTGATTTGTAAGTGTTCAAGTATTTTCACGAACCACTGTGTATTGATTTTATTGTTAATACGTAAATTAATATAACTATATTATCTGACACTATTTGAATCACTATTTTTTTTTTTTTTTTTTAGATTTTAAATCTTTTGCTTTTCCTGAAGTTTTATGCTTGACACCCTGTATGCATGATATTCAGAGGTTGAAAATCTTCCGCTCGTAGACGACTTACATCCAACAAAAGAAAATCATGTTCTTGGGATTCGTATCATTTTTCTTCCGCTTCAAAAGGCTGCTCAATGAAGACTGAGATTAATCTCGTGATGTTTTGTTGCATTTCGAGAATAGTCTTATTGTCTGGCGCTGGGAGAGACGAGATAGGAGAGTCAGTCCATTATCTGTGCTATTTTCAATAAAATAATTTATAATCGCGAAACGTTAGATCTTCCTTAATTTTTTTAGCGAAGCCTTTTAAGTTTAGATATTATCGAAAATTAAACGCAATGAAACATTCTCATCTACATTCTCATCTGCTTCGATCGATGTAAATTCTCGTGCTGGTTCCAGTAGTCCAAAATACAACGATCTAATAGCTCTAAATGCACGTGTATAGATACAAAAAAGTTCGAGGGTTAGACGTTTTCGAGATAAAGGACCTGGCCACTTCTCCGCCATGAATGAGAGAAAACGAGTCGGAGGGAGACTCCGTGCATCGAATGCGGGCACAGGAAATCGGCGCTTATTCTCGGCCTCGATGCTATCTTGAGGCTTCGGCCAGCCTTTTTGTTCAGACTGGTGCATAGTTCGATCAGAAAACGTAAGCCGTGCGTCAGCTATGCCTACAGCTGACCTTGAACGCGGTACCAGTTGCAGCACGTGGATGTGATACAGGTTCAATCCGTCTCCTGTTCTCGGATTTTCTTTCACTTTGAACTCCCAAGCCTTAAATAGAGATTACACGTGCTATTTTTAGTAAGTGGCCAAGGCTCGATAGCTTTGAAGGAATAAAGCAATAAAGGCTTGAACAGTGGCGAGCAATTCCCTATAGTCAAGGTGAATTTGTCAAGGCAACTTATTATGGATTGATTATCACGGCGAGGTACTTAATGTTGGCTGATTTGAATTTGAGGAATCTGGTGTACAAAGAGAACTTCAATTAATTATTGCGTAACTTTGTAATCCTGCTGCATTATTTGGATCTTCATGTTCCCTGTCTGCTCTTGTTTTTATCTTGAGCTGCATTATTTGTATCTTCATGTTCTCTGTTTACTCTTGTTTTAATTTTTGAACGGTGAAGGTTGGATAAACTTTGACTTACGCACATTTTATTTCACATCAGTCACATGTTTTGTAAGTTGTCTTTTCTTTTTATCATTATTATTAAATTACAAAATTAAAAAAACTGTAGAAGCTTCGTTGAAAGATTAAAATTATGAAAGTTATGAAATTCAATTTTGTATATGTGCATCGAAGCACAAGTAGCCTGAGTTAGCAAAGATTCCTCTGTTTTGTTCAATGCTCTTCACGTTATTGCCAGCTATAGCCAATCGAGCGATAACCCACATTTTTTATCCCGAGTTAGGTCATTCCTGTCGTCAACCCGACATATTCGTAAATTTCTTCTTCTTGAATCGAATGTCAGAGATAGCAGATGGTGGCTACATACAGATCTTCCAACATCGATTTCCTGTCCAAGCTTAGTTGGTTTCCTGTCCATTAGTCAGCAGGGTGGAAGTTAGTGACACAGTGGTTACAAACGTTGCAAATGTTTCCTTCCTCTCGATTATGATAAATGTCTGGTAAATGTATGGATTTTTATGTAGATGTGCACAATGATATAGATTTTATGAGATATGCAGAATGCATAAAACATAACATAAAATGTATCAAAAAATTAACTTGTACAATACTTCTAAAAAAAAAAGATAATCATTAAAATAAGATTCATTGAGGCTCATATTCTTGTTAAATCGGAATTAATACAATTGTTTAAATGGCCAGTTTCTAAGTCATAATTCATAATAAATATGTAGGAGAGCAACGTTCCCTGCTTAATTTTAGTCATTAAATTTAAGAAGAGAAAGAGGTTGTTAAAATACAAAGAAGAAAGCAAAATCATAATACATAACAATTAAGGAGATATTTGTTTTTTTTTTCAATAAACATTCTGTAAAGAAACAATCGTATCAAGCGATAATATTTGGCATAATGTTTCAGCGAGACTGGACGAGAATAATCGGATGAAGCTGGGCCAAGCATGCCCTCTAAGAAGCAATACAATCTCGTGCATAATGACGAGTACGACACGAGGATACCGTTGCACAGCGAAGAGGCGTTTCATCGTGGAATTGTCTTTCACGCCAAGGTAATCGAACGTTAAACGCTTTCTGATTTCTGTAGCCAATTTGCTCCCCAAACGAGAGAGTTCACGAGGACTCGTTCATTCCCAATTGCGTCTTGAAGCAAACGTGATGCCAAAGAAACAGATATATTGTATGCATAACATTCGATTGATATGATCTTAGTTAAAAACAAACACAATGTATTGAAGTAGATTTTAATTTGAAGAGTAATGTTTACTATAAAGCTTTGAATTAGGTCATCCAAAGACTATTGGATCTTAATTTAGAAAACGTCAATCTTAATTTTAAAAACGTGGTAGGACTTGAATCTGTCATTGTAAAATCTTAAGATGACACAGTCTCTTGACTTTGAGGTTCTCCATAATACTGTGGTGCCACCAGTTGAGCTTCATCATTTTGTAGTTATCTGCCTCAGGTCATTTGACCCTAGGAAGATTTGTTTCTGGTGAAATGGAGTCTCAGGTTAGCTGTGTTTTTCATTCCTCTCAGGTATAAATTCTTAACATAACGTTTACGATATGAGTTCTTGAAATTGTTTAGATACAGGGTGTCCCAGTTTTTTTCTGGCATAACTTTGCCAGCGTGTTCTACAAGCAAAAGTAAGAAAAGACTGTGATATGCTCTTAAATGTTTTATTAAGGAGTTATAACTAATAACACAAAATCATAATGAACCGGCGTTTCGTCGAACACAGCGTACGAACGTGTCATCAGTGTTACAAAAACTCACATAATCTCATTGAAGCTCTGTGTTTACTAACAAAACTAAATCCAACAAAACTAAGCAAAATAACAGTAGATACCTTCTTAATGTAATAACATTTCAAAATGACGTCCGTTATTATGAATACAGGATTGGCATCTAAACAAAAATTGACTTTATCGCATTAATGTCTTCTTCATTTTCTCTAATCGCAGCAAATGCGTCATTAATCCTCTGTACTAACTACTCACGAGTGTTAATTTCTGCTTTATAAACTTTTGCTTTCACAACTCCCCACACGTAAAAACTTATTGGCGTGATAATTGGTGATGTTGGAGGCCATGAGATTGGTTCTCCTCGATCTGTCCATCGTTGTGGATAATGGTCATTTATCCATTGCCGTACTGGTACTGCGGAACGTATTGGGCAACCGTCTAATCGAATCCATAAGTTTTGTCGAAGTAATAATGGAATATCTCCTGCTACTTCTGTCTCAAATTCGTTTTCTGAGAAATCCAAAAAAGACTCTGCCGTTAATCTGTCCGGTAAAAAGTGAGGTACTAAACATTATTAGCTTAGCAGAAATCAATGACGATATCAACTACTTCAGCAAGAAAACATAAGAATTTATGTAAACACAAATGGATATTCATAATAGGTTCCTACATTGTGCCGACGAAATGCAAGTTCATTATCATTTTGTATTATTAGTTATAACTCTTTAATGAAACATTTAAGAACATTCATATAACATTTTTTTCTTACTTTTGCTTCTATAATACGCTGGCAAAGTTATGCTGAAAAAACTGGGACATCCTGTTAAATATTAAAATTGATATCTCTTTTCTGTTTTCATCCAGATATTGAACTGTTAGAAACTTCACGAGAATTATAATCTTGTAAAGATTACATTATGTCTCATAGTTCGATTTAATTCCCATCGAAGAACACGAACCGTCACAACCCTGAAATTTCACATCATTGCTGGTAGTGAATGTCTTAACTCTTAAAGGACACTCGTATCGGGCTTTGCAACTTCAAACGCTTTGTATCGAATGCTTCCGTGGCGTATAATTTTCCTTCTTCAATTTACCATCTCCAAGATTGAAATTCTTCGATTACTCGCGACACGTGCAATTACTATACTAAATAAGGGATGTAATCGAGAATGTATCTCACCTCGTACTTCTATTACTCACACTTTAAAAGTATGCGTTCTTTGTGGGAGACAGAAGTGATTTCTATGAAAAACTCGTAACAAAGGTAGCAACTAACTTTGAAGTGTCGATAAAGCGTAATTTCCAGAGGTATATTCTAGGACGTTACTGTCGTAATATCCAGTACGAGACAGTTGTTTCGCGGAAAGCGAACTTTCAAAATACAATCGCCGAAGAGAAGTGTTGGAAAATGGCAGACTTTTTTTTTCAGCGTGCATAAAAACGGAAAAATCTGCAATTTATTTATCTATTTTGATTTTTCATTTAAATTAGATTGTTAACGATGATAATATACACGAGTTATATTTTTGCAGTAATATTCGTTTGCATTTAATATCCAGCAAATCTCGTGGAACATTTGAAAGAATAAATCGTGCGTTTTGTATAAAAATCGAGTGGACTATGGATTAATCAGTACTGTTAGATACATCTGATTCTTTTTAAACGTATACTTACTATACTTACTAAACGTATACTATTTTTTTTAGATTCGTAACTTCTACTGCTGTAGATATATACCATGCGAATGATTCAAGTTTTGTTCTCCGGTTTTCCAATTGTACCGCGAAGCAATTCACGAGAGGCCTCCGGCTCTCCCGAAATATTCTGACGAGCGACGCTGTAATTTACTGTACAATTCGGACCGTTCGAATAGCCGCATAAAACCGCAAGTGTTTCCGAGAAACTAAAAAGTGTATCATTCTGTTACAGAAGCGGTTGATCTGTTTGTTTGAGAGAGTGCAGAGTGATTTACAATAACGGGATCTCTGAAGCGAATATTTACAAATATATATTATAATTTTTACACGAGATATGTATTTGAAGCATTTCGAGCACAATCTAAAATATAAAACTCTCTCAGATTTCAAATATCTATGTAGAATCTGATTTTTTTTTCCTTTTTCAAGCATTTATAATTTTACTGATAAATACTTTGGTTTTACTTGTAGGAAGCTTAACGCTGTTGATGTGAAAAACGCAGAAATCCTAACAGAAATCCTAACAGAAGAGAGATAATCCAGAAACTCAGTTCTATCCAAGAACGTTATTGGATCTACGCACGCACACTTGATTTCAATGCCTTACAAGAAAAAATGCTATTAAATACAAGTAATTTAGAATCGCTCATATAAAAAAATTATAATATTGAGTATAATTATATAACAGCGTTAACCCTCGCATGACGGGCTGTACTGGCCGGTGGCCGGGTCTCGCGAGACCCAAGCTACTGACTATATATATATATACGTTCAAGTGAAACGATGTACGTTTTTATTATGATTTTTATAACAATAGGATAGCAGGGAATAAAAACACTTTTTGCTACTTTTATTACCTATAAATAATATTATTTATTTTCGTTGTATCTAATACGTTAGATTGCATTTGTGTTTGCTCTACAAACAAAATTGTGACAATTGCTACATTTAGCGCTGTATTTGTTGTCACTGCCTATGCAAATAAAACATCTCGATCGTTTTAAGTTTCAAAAAATGGAAAACACTAAAAGACTAAAAAATACAAAAAAAAAAATGAAAAATACTAGAAAAACTAAAGAATACAAAAAGTGAAAAATACTGAAAACAAATGCACTGAAATACACTTTCGACCATTCGCCATGACTGCTTCTTCAGAACTGACTCGTACGTGCGTTTTGAAACTTCTTATTGGAAACGTAATATGATCCCATTTTTTGTTGCCAAATCGTAGCCGTACAGGCTAACTTTGTACGACTCGCACACAAAGTAGGACTTCAAACGGGTCACCGCAGACCCAGCCACCGTTATGATGCGAGGGTTAAAAGTCGATGGCCATTCACTTTTACAAAGAGCGTATACGATTTGCGTGTAACTCAACGTTGCGCTAACTGACCGTAGGGAAAAGCAAAGGAAGCTATAGGTGGTCATTTGATGGCTACGCGACAATAGTGTTGTAGAGCGGGTATTTTTGGTCGCGGCGTTACGAGCAGAAAGGAACAGGATCATGACGTCATTGTGCACGTGTTTATCCCAGTGGTGCATGTATTCGTTTCTCAGAAAGGTTAAAACTTTCGCGCTCCGTAAGCTCGTAAAGCGGTCACTTCACGAAAGAACCGCCGCACCCCGGCTATTCACGGCGTTCTTCTGCCGTTCTTCTCTCGTCAACGTTCGACTTACCGCGCCGCGTTCCAACGATGTTTCAAGTCCATTAAGTTTCTGCCATGCGAGTTTCGAGTCACGTATTCGTACACGTAACAAGCTTTTTAAGTTTAACATTTCGTTTGTTATATGATGCATATTATTGTGTATTTCATTATTTCTAACACAATATATTTATTATTTATACACAATAATTTATTTATAGTGTTATTTTGTCATGAAACAGATTATTTTCACGAACTGCGAATTTATTTGTTTTCAATTAAAGTGAAAACATAATTTAAAATATTTAATACAACCTATTAAGGAAATACAATACGTATATATGAATTGCTGATCTAATCTCTAAAGTTACTTAGTATTAGTTTCAATTTTTGCTGACGAAGATTTTCGTCGTATTTCTTTCTTTTTGTGTTTGTCCAAATTGATGAAAATATTGTTTATTGTTTTTGTGTAAATATTGTGTATTGTTTATTTTGTTTTCTTTCACTTGAAACTGATACGAGAGGTTTAGAATTTTGTTTGCAGGATCTGTAAATTTTTTAATATATCTTTTATAGAGTGGAATTTTTTTTTTTTTTTTGTTTGATCCTTTTTTAACTGATGGATGTGTTTTCTAGTTATTTTGTTGCAATTCAATTTCCCTGTTATATTTTACTTTTGTTTCTGCAATTGCGTTTCATGAAAAGTTTTTTTTAAAAATTCATTTCTGAACCGAATTAAAAACACGTGTTCCGTACGGTTTTCTTTTGATTTTATTAAAGTTTTCTTCGTGTTATTTTCTCAGTTTCACTGTGTACAGTTTCAATATGGGTCAGACGAGTCAGATTTTATTAACTTTCGTCGATATTTATTAGCGTTTACTTTCTTCCTAGCGATTAATCTTCGTTTTGCTAGATGTTTAGATTTCTGGATGTACCATGTACGATTCACCTCGGGTTTCGTATATACAAAGCCTTCAAAGCCTCCTTTTCAATCAACGAGCTTTTAAGTTCAATCTTGTCCAGACAAAAATGAATGATTCAGTAAAATAATTCATTCAAAAAATTTATGTATTTTAAGTATTTTAACAACGATTCAGAAGTGAAAAGTCAAAATGTTAACATTTCGACGCCTGACGCGTCCCACTTTGCCCTACTAAAGTCACAATAATTTTAGCTAGAACCTCTTGGCATTGCGTTTCTTTCACGGGGATACGAATATCCGGGAAACTTGGTCACGCTTCAGACTTCGACCGTGTATTATCTACACGCCACCGTATGTTTTTCACTTTGATGTGAAATAAATTGTGCAAATTATTCCCCTTTTTAATCGAATTTTTCTTCTTAGAATTTAATTCCTACGCGTGCGCATACATGTAAATTTTCCTAACACCAGCAATTGTATCTTTCTACCATGTACTATCTGCATATATAGGGTTATAGTCTCGTCAATTGCAGAATAGGAACATCGCAAGAATTACACGCCGGTGTACATATGTAGCTGTTAAAATATTTAAAACACCGCGAAGAATGGTCGATCCCATTGTGCCGCGCTCGCGATCAATCGTGAATTCGAGGAATTCGATCGTTTCTCGCGGCGTGCGTGGGAGATGACCACGTGTGTAGCGGAGAACACGTGGCCCAGGTCATCGTTTCAATGGGGAAATTCTAAATATGGCCGCTTGGTCGTGTCTAGCGTGTTCCCGTCTAGCATGATCTACACAGGGTGTCCCGGTGAAAAAGATGTAAAAAATTGCAAAAAATTGCCAAAAAAAAAAAAAAAACATTACGTAGAAAACACGTGGAAAGAACAGATCATACTGACAATATGAGAGTCTTTTCAATCTGTTAACTCCTGTTAATCCATTAGACAACCGAGATATAGAATGTTCCGATAAATCATCGGTCGAAACGAAACGTATCACTGCATGTAGCAAATCTATTTCCAGTCATCTGTCTTTGATCTTTAACGGGTACATAACTCCCGACTGGTTTAGTCGAGCTGTTTTGGCGTTGTCAGAATAGCGATAGAAGTCAGATGTTCTAATAATCCAGCTTGTATTGTATATTTCAGTCAGAATAGAAGTTGAAGATTTAAAAAAAAAAAAAAAAAAAAAAACGAATCGTTTATAGTATACTGGAACCTTGACAACACAACGTACCTATTTTATTTGTTCTTATGTTTTAGAATCAAGGTGAAGTTTTTCTTCAGATCTTTGCAATGACTGTTTCAGAAGTTCTGTCGTTGGTAACGAGAAGTACCATTTATTCATTTATGAAGGTTAGAAATTTTCCACCCTACAGTAGACCCAAGATAGAATAGAGGGTCCACCAGAGTCCCTGATCATCCTGAAATTAATTAATCCGTGCTTCTCCACTTCAGACAGTGTATGGAAAAGCAACGAATAAAAAGAAATCAAGGCTCTCTCTCTCTCTCTCTCTAATTCGTTCTCTTTCGTACGTTTGTTCATAGTTCATCGGCTCTATGGAGGTTCCTCGACCGACCAGCCGAGTGGAGATCGTGGCGGCGATGCGAAGAATCCGCGTGAGTTCGCATGATCTCTAATTAACCGTGAAGATGGCCTCGCATCGCGGGGCGCGTAGTTGCGTCGTTTATTTCAACCTTATTCTGTCCCCAGTACGAGTTCAAGGCCAAAGGGATCAAAAAGAAGAAAGTGACGCTGGAGGTATCGGTGGACGGGCTGAAAGTCACTCTTCGAAAGAAGAAGGTAATTGCTGTGTACTTGAACTCGTTATCCGCCGACTGGCCGCACGCCATTACGTATCTGCCATAATTGCGACAACTATTAGTTCTTTCTCTTTACTCTTTCTTTCTTTCTTTTAAATTTTTTCCTCATTCTCTATGCATGTGTGTGTGTATATACCTGCTCCCCAACTCTAGAATTTAGAATATTGGAGTACTTAGTTTCTTAGAAAAAGAGGTCATAGATGTTGGAATATTGACTTTTAAACATTAAATTATAGTGTGCAAAGTTGTAGAGTTGTAAATAAGTTGTGAGAGTTAAGCACCTATCAAATGCCAAGCACCGAGTTCAAAATGTCAAGTAACAAATGTCGTGTACCAGATATTGAATTAAATTGAGTATGAAATAGTTCTTCACAGAACTTTGTTAATTTTTCACTGAGATCTTTCTTTTTTTCCAATCAGATCTATTAATAGATATACGAAACTACACTGTCCAAATTCAATAGATTAGTAAAATTGCTATTAGTGGTATTTTAACGTTAACATACCAATTATTTGAAACAGTAGGTTTTGATTTATTGTACCATGCTTTTTGGCTCGTTCCACTAATGTCACACAATATGCACAATAGTATATATGTACTTCTTGATTGTATTTATTCGTATATATATTATCATTCAACGGGAATTGTTTCAAATCAACTTTCAAAGTTGATTTGAAATTTTTATATATAGTTTTAGTTTATATATAGTTTTAGAATAGTTTAATATTTATATATAGTTTTAGAATAGTTTAATATTTATATATATAGTTTTAGAATAGTTTAATATTTATATATAGTTTTAGAATAGTTTACGTTTCACGTAAAAGGGAAACAATGTTTATGATTTTAATTTAGAGAAGAAATTTGTTCTACTGTCTTCATCTACCATGAATACTTTGTTAACATTCCTAATCTTTCTTTCTCAATGAAGTGTCACATTACATTCGAGGCACGCTACACTAAACTCCAATTCCTCTAAGTTCAAGAATAACCTACGTTTCATGAGATTAATGAGTCGTTATTTGTCCTTTGCTTTCACAGAAGAAACAGCAACAATGGATGGACGAGAATAAGATATACCTAATGCACCATCCCATATATAGGTAAGTTGAATCTCGTTCGCTTCTCCCATGGGAACATCCTGCTCACTTTGTGACATGAACAAGAACACGAGCACAAGAACAAGTTTAACTGTAGCTCGTTCAATTACCACAACTTCCGATCAGTTCTTAATTTAATTAAGTATAGACATCTCATGATTAAAAGATTGTACTAACTATGCCGTACTATGCAGTTTCTTGTTAGAATCATTTTTTATACATTTCATTTTGACGTATTTGCTCGCAACTTTAACACTAGAACTACCAAAGTGGTCAAAATTTCCCACGGAAATTTTATATATTTACAACAGTGTATTTTTAGATACTCGAGTGATTTTTAATAAAATGTATCAATGGAAGCTTGTATTCTTTATTATATAATTAACTTTTTCTTCTAGCTTGCATTTTAATTTCTTTGGTACAAATAATATACTTTTTCCTCGGCAGTTCTAGTGTTAATTCTATTCGTTTTTCAATTGTTTAGTGTAAGTCGAATTTTGTTTAATTGTTGCAGGATATTCTACGTCTCCCATGATAGCCACGATTTGAAAATCTTTAGTTACATTGCTCGCGATGGAAGCAGCAACACATTTAAGTGTAATGTCTTCAAATCTAGTAAAAAGGTAAGCGATGCATATCAAATGATCCATGTTCTTTGTGTAAATTATAAGAAACTATTTTAAATATCTGTAACGTTATCAAACTTCAAGTATTGATGTTAAATGTATATTACTTGATTAATTTAATTAGGCAAACAAATTAAGTTACTCACATAAAGATTTAGCGACAATCGAGTGATATGAATGATCCTGAAAGTAATCGGAGGACAATTTTGAAAAAAAAGTTTCATCGATCGTAGAATAAGAAAAATTCTTCCTAAAAGTTGTCACGCAGAACTTCTCGTTCCGCAGAGCGGCGTAGCATCGTCAAACTATAATGTTACGTGACGCACGTGCGTACACTTACAATTATTCTCACGATGCGAGTGTGTGTGTCGCCTGGCATTCTATCAAGTCACGTTATTGTAATCTTATAAATAACCGACCCATCCCCTCTCGAATTTTTTCACGCGCACTTTTGCTTTCTTTATTCCCGGTTCTTCTCCAGCCCATAAGTACGAGTCTTCTGCTCTTCTTTTCTACTCGTCCTCCTCTCATCAACTGAAATCTCTTCTTCGACCAATCGCCGTGGTCGTTTCAGCATTTTACAGCAAATCTTCAGGTGGATATTTTTTGAATGGTTATTCCTTGTAAATTGCAACTTGCAAAAAATTTGGCGGATTGCAATTCGAATATAATTAAAATGTCAGGAATAGACGCGAGTGTATACTTAAAGAGTCATAAAGTGTAGATGTAATAAAAAATTTTCTTATGGAAAGAGACTTTTGAGAATCTTTTCTCAACATTTAACGATAGACTGGTAGAGAGCTCGGATTTGAGGGTTTGTTAGAACCATCGTTGTCATTCGATCAAACACGCAGAAGCAGTGGGGATAATGTTGCAACGCTGCCAAGGGAGCAGAATGCACCTTCTGCTTCTCTCGGTCGAGATCATGGGCGCTGGGCCTTGGGAGATCGTGTGACGATAAAATCCCTGCTCTATCCACACTGGCTCGTTTATTACTCTGTGATAGCTATTACCGGTGTATTATAATAAACGTTAGTTCTGCCTCGTATAATTTTACGTTCGTTTACAGTGGACCGCTGGTAGAATACCGCCAGGATGTCATTAGGCTATCGCTAGGAAATTACACGTGATATGGTCATCATACTTTTTATATGTATATATTTTTCATATGGCGTTTAATTGTTGTATTTGGAATCTTTTTAAGGGGGCAGGACAGTTTGACGGGCCTAAAAATTACGTATACTTTGGAAGGCTAGTAAAAAAAAAGTATATATTTAATTGACGTGAGCTTTCGTGGTTTATTTTATTTTACACATTATGAACTGTAAAAAGCAACATTAAAAAAAGAAAATTAGAGGGCTCTTCTTTAACTTTTTGACGAACTTTTACATAACTTTTTTTTACATTGCCTATCGGTGTGCATGATTCCAGCCAAACAGGATTAGCTGCAACAAAAAGGCAAAAAAAGTTCAAAAGTAAACAATATTCTCTAGGGATTGACGATCCAACAATTTTCATTTCTGTGAAAATTATGAAAATGGCAGCTATTTGTTTTTGACGTATCGAATTTATACCAAAAATTTCTGTGTTTTTTGTTTATATTTTTCGAGATTGTTAAAAATTAAAAAATGTTCGATCGTCAATTCCTATTAAATGTTACACTAAAGATACGTACGAAGTTTCACAGAGATCGGTTGGTTAGATTCCGAGATATCTTGCACACCGTTTATAAAAACTTAGTTTCGAGAAAAACGCGTTTGAAGTTTCAGAACGTCATTTTTCACATGTGTTTCTTTTACTTACTTTTTTTACTTATATATCGCGACTCAAAGTTCTTACAATTCATAACTAAATTGAATCCAAGTCTCCTAATATTCGATTCACCAAAAGTAATATTTAAATCACACGATTTACACTTTATAATACTGTTTAAAGTTGTGTGCTACAAATACAATTATTCTGTATCCGTGGATTTATTATTATACCCCAAAATAAGTCGTTTTAAAGGCTAGAACCTTTTGCATATTATTTCTAAGACTTCAAATAACTATTTGAAAGAAAACCGAAACAGAGAAAAATTTTGAAAATTTGAAACTGTCCTGACCCTTTAAGAACGATTATCGTGCGTCTCAGGATCAACAGACTAAATCAATATTGTCGCGTCGTCTTTCCTGTTCGCGAAAAATCCGCAGGTAAAGGAAATAACAATGTTATCGGAGTTTCTCTCGCATGATCCTCGAAAGAATGTTGAGACGTGTTCGGCAAGCTATAATAAAAGATTGTTGGAAATTACTTGAAGATCAAGGCTGAGGTATTGAGATGCACACTCACGGGGAAAACAACGAGCGACTTGATTTTGAGGAAGAATAGCCGAATTAAACTCATTCACTCACTCACTCACTCTCTCTCTCTCTTTCTCTGTCTGTCTGTCTGTCTGTCTTTTTCTCCCTCTCTCTTTCTATTGGTCAATGAACTTCAACACCTCGTGCTCATCGTTTTCTATAATAGAAAATGACATAAATAAGAAATAATTTTCTGTATTTGTGGATATTTATCCGATATTTGACTACGATTATTAATTTTCACGATTATTAATTTGTACAATGAATAAAAATATTGACTTTTTTTGGGCTTTTAAGCCTCTATAATGCAAGATTTAAATAATTTACGCTCTCTTGCACAATTATTTACTAATCAGTAACAAATTGAAACCAACAAAAATTGGCATCGTATCGTCAGTGCAACGAGCGTATGTTGTTGTCAAGCCTTTAGTTTTAACTTGTACAGTGTTGGTTTACAGGAGCCTACCGACAATATGCTATTTTAAAAATATTTCTCCCACGGCAACGAATTTCTCGCACTATACATGCGTTGATCTCCGGCGTTCGGGCGTAAATTATCGTCTGAAAATATCTTGAAAACCAGCGGTATTTTAAATATCAACCCGACGAGAAATTATTATTCCCAAAGGGAATTTCATCAGCGAAATATTTCGTCAGCAAATTTTTTCGTACATGTTTGTTGAATCGATGCATCTTTGTTTCTGGTTTCATTTAAATTCATTGGACAGGAATTGTTTAAACATTTCATACGAACAAATCGAAATTTATTTATTAATTTCTTTTTACAATAATTTAAATTTCTGATAAAATCTTGAATGCGCGGGTGATTTAAATTCAGATTTTCAATATCCGCTATGAATTTTTTTCTTTATCTTCTGTATTCTTTCCTTTCACACGTATATAGCTTTTTTTTCTGTAGGGGCTAGATTTTCAAATATCTCGTATGTTTTAGAAATGGCTGGGCTAGAAATAGAACAGATTGTGCAGCTGAAAACCAGCAGAAATCACGGGCTAATGTTTAAAAGTTTCACGCCATTAAACTCATGAGAGAAAGAGCTCCTTCCACTTTTCGAATGTCGCCGAAAGTTTTTTCTAAGTCAAACACGATCTTTGAATTTCCCTTTCGTGAGATTTCTTCGACGAAAGAACTCTTAAATATTGTTTGTTTCATTGTTTTCAAAGATATATATATATATATATATGCATCTATATATCAGAATTCACAAATTATAGAGGACTATATACATATTTGTTATTGTACATACGAAAGAATAAATAATTGGAAGAGATTTTTACTTGCATAAAATATATCAAAGTTAAAAGCATATACTATGCTAAAAAAGAAGAAAAAACTTTATTATTTTTTTATAATTTAAAGCCTATTATATTGATGAATTTAAAGATTTATTCGTTAATTATTATATTCAAAAATATAAGAAATCTTTTGTTTTTTCATCGTGGTTTTCATCATTTCAATGGTCATAAGAAATAGAGCAAATTTCTTGGATAAACTTGAGTGCAGTGAGGTTTAAAGATGTTCGATCATTTGTTTAAGTATTCAAGGCTCGCTGTAAAGTTTTAAAACGTTAAAACGTCAATTCGTTGTCCAGAAAATGGGGAAAAGTGATTTAATCGTTGGTAAATTTCCGTTCAAGATGTATTTTTGCGGCCAAAAAAATAAACAATTTCACGAATGAATTAAATTGTGTGGGTATTTTTGTCTTTGTTGATGAAACTTTTCACGTTTCGACCGATACGATTGTCATTTCATTTCCACGTAAGAAGCTCCATAAACTAAAACATTTTTTAAAAACATTTTCCTTTAAATAAAGTATTCCTTTCTTCTCGTTCGTGAGAATATGGCGGGAGAAGGAAACGAAATGTGAATAAATATTCTCCACAAAAATATACATCTTTTTAAAATAAATAAAACACTTCCAATTATTAATATCCATTTTCTGAAGTTTTAATCGATAGTCCTAAACTTACATAAAACTTTACATAATCAATAGTCCTAAACTTTACATAAAATCTCTAGAACAATAGAAATGAAAAAAGTAAAAAAAGAAGAAAAGGAAAACCACGCTGTCTCACGCTACAACGAATGAAGATCACTCACAATACTAAGTAATACTTGAAATAATTCAGTTTATAAATTTAAGTACGCTTATTATCTTCTGAACCAGAAGGAAAGGAGAGGAAACGCTTAACTTCACTTGTTTCCTTTAAGAAAAAAAAAAAAAAAAAAAAAAAGAAGAAGAAAGAAGAGGTAAAGAAAGAAATATTCAGTGCACTGTACTTTATAGCAACCAATCCTCGGAATCACTTGACGACATCCCTTTTCCCAGCATCTTCCTGGAGTACTCTAACCGACTCTTCTAAACGTGTGTAACGTGTCTCGTTATCATCGCAACACAAAACGAGAAGGGGAGAAGAGCACGAGGAGGAGAGACGACCGACTAGAATCGCTCGACCGAATTACTGCTCCGACTGAAGGATGCTCGAAACGGGAACAGCGGAACGCAAACGGGCGAATTTCAAGCGTTGCTTTCCGCGTTCTGAAAGCTCGTTTGTACCGTAGCACTTTAAGCTCTCTCTGTCTCCTCTCTCTCTCTCTTCCCTCTCTCTTTCTCTCATTCTCTCTCATTTTGGCTC